CGGTTACAGAAATTTGTAGTTGATAGTCGTGTAGGTTAACGCGGCGCTCGTTAGCAAGAGGCCTAGGTATGCGTAGGATAGAGATGTAGAAATTAATTGGTGGGGGATTAATGAGTTTGATTTGTGTATTTATTTGCTGTATTCAACTTTAATTATTGTATAAATGTATATAACCAACACTCATGCCTAAATCTTTAATCATGCCATCCATTTTCTCTTACACTGTGGGGGCTTTGAGCAAGTGACAATAATAATAATTCATGAATTTTGGAATTGTTCTTGGTCTTCTTTTTAAGTCGCCATTATGTTTTAAAATTCATGAGAATGAAAAGTTTAGCTTTAAGATAAATTTATAGAATTATATTAGAGTGGACTGTATCTATCGTGTGATAGATTAAATTTTTTTATAGAGTTTTAACAATGGGTTAAAAAGAAAATCATGACAAATATTCACTAGTTTTTTATTATTGTTTTGCGTTAGGATTTTTGGTCCAGTAGTTTGGAACCATGTGTAGAGTAATGGTATTGGTCCGAACAAGACATGGCCACTGAAATGATTTCACCAAATTTTTGTGAGGTGGTCCTTAGTGCTTTACACTATTTCACTTTTCATTAATAGTAAGAAATTCTGTTGAAAATAAACTATTTGTATAGTTAATGGTTGACATTTATGTAGTTGAACAGTATAAACTTGTTAGCCCGTTTTCGATCCATTTATAACTTTTATAAAACTCAGAGTAAAATTAACCAGTCATATACAATACAACTAGTGTGGTATTAAAAGGACCTTTAAATATTACACTTAATAATTAGCTAACATACATAAAAAATGCAATATATTTTTATAAATTATAAAATCAAAATTATTAAACTAAAATAATCTAAAATTATTATAACAAACCAATATAATAATAAAGCAACTAAACACCAAAAGAATTAATAAAAAAATATATTTTATAAATCAAGAAAAAAAACATATTCCAAACTACGACATGCCAAAACACGACGGACAGCAGCAATACTCCTTTTACATTCACCCTCACCGACAATATTTGAAAAAATGGATACAAAATCATGCATCACACTT